TCCATTACAACCCGGTCCTATGGATGCTAGAAGTGCGAATTCATATAAGGTGGTGTTACCGGAAAATGAATAACTAAATATGTATATCAGAAAATTAATAAGATGAAATGAAATTATTGTTTGATTTCTAACCAAACTTATGTATGTAACTCGATCGCCTAATGGTTTGCCGAACCGTTAACATATGTTTACACATCCAATTTCGTGAGTAGGTACCTGGTACTCACACCATTTTTAAGAAGTTTCATTTCTATCATGTGTACCATTTTTTTCTTCTTTTATGCTGAATAACGGTAAATTGCAAATATCTCGAAAACGTATCCATAGAAAAAAAATTAACTCTATTTTCGTAATCACCGTGCAATTCTACATACAAATTGGATAGTGGCGTCTGGAGAACAAAAACTAAACTAAAATTTGAGATCAAGTGTAATTAACGCTAGGATAGGGATGGAAAAGTCGACTGTCACAGTTTAGTCAAAAATCTACTTCTCGCTGAAAAACTCGACTTTTTTGAATGGAGTTCAGTCGCCTCAAGTCGATCAGGATTGGCTCTCGCTCGATGATTTTTCGACTTTTGCCTACTAAGAAGTACCTATTTGATAATGATATGTCATTGTACGCTCCTCTAACCCCTCAGCCATAATGGTAGGTATTAATTTCTTTTGTATAAGGTTGCCACCTATTCGAAATTAGTTAAAAATTAATTAAAATATCATAATATGGGCATCCAATGGAGGGTATTTTAAATATCTCTAATTCAAAAATATTTTTAATAGGCTATTTTGAAGCGCATGTTTATTTAATTTTAATTTTCGTTTAGATAAAAGTTAAAATAATACTATTCATGGTGGTACAAAGAGAAGGTTCTTAAACAATGCTTTCCCTATATACAAAATGGTATTCTTAGGATACTAGTGTAAGTTTGCCGCTTATTTTCGATTCTACACAATTTATCGAAAACATCGCAATATGGATAATCAATTGTTGAGAACTTTGGTCAGAAGATATTTTCCATCGGAGCTGCCACGCTTCTATGCAATAAACGTTTTTATTTTGTTAATTTCAATCAGGAATTTCATTTAGGTATACACAGTACATATTTTGGAGTAAGAAGTTTACTTAACAGATATCGAAATCAAACGTTTTTTTTTTATTTTCAAAATATTATTTTAAAGCTATCCAAATCTTGAAAACTTTAAAAGGCATAATGACTCCGGACAGAGCTCGGTCAAGCTGGTGCAAAACTTTAAGAGTCGAAAACCTCTAAGGTGATTCTGAAGTCAAGAATCCATTCTGGGCGCGTCTTTTTCATGATAACTGTGAGTATCCTGGAGCTAGTTTCCACCAGACATTTAATAGCCGGCCTTAAGTAAGAGTGAGGTTAATATTGGATTGCGATGGCAGATGCATTTTAAATGGAGCCGATTTAGCGGACAAGTATAAAGGACTGCATTTAGATTTGCAAAGGATAGATACTTTCACTAATTTTGGTATTTTAAATATGGATTATGACCGAACAGTGATGAGGTATGTATCTAGATACTAGACTACATGTTACGGCTCAATTACACAAACTATACCAAAAATAAAATAAAGACCAAATTTAATTATATCGTCATTTAAAGCACAAAATCCCGTATCGTGATTCTGCACAACCGCGAAACTGTCATTGGCTGCCAAAAATTGGATTTGCTTACACAAGCTCTTGGCTCAATCGTTATCCATTCGTCCTGAAATATACTAGGCAGATATGCGATTTGTTGATACGCGGTTTTGCACGTTTAAACGACGATATGTAGCTATGGCTTTTATTTATTCTCCATACATGCATTTTATTACCAATCGTAATTCTTCCTTAGTTTCAAATATTTACATACATATTTTCCGCCTCAAACACACACACACTACTACATAAAACCTCTCTAACTCTCAAACTGAAAGTATTATTAATCCCCCATCAATTATCACTGCGTATATAAGTATGTATGTTACATTTTTTAACACACCACTCAGCTGTTGGACGAACATATTTCGGACACAAACTCTACATACCAAAACATTAACTTTACAAATAAATTACTCACAACTCCCATATTTTGCCACCCACAATTGCCTGCAGCTGACAGCTTAATACTCAATTGCTTTAAAGAGCTTTGTTTCATTTCCATTGCATTCACAAGTATTTGCGTGAACTTTGAGTGGCTTGCTAGCTTTTGTTGTTACTGGTTATTGTTGGCCTACGAATATTTGCATTTGCTGAGCCACTTTCGCTGTATTTATGAAAATGTCACGTTAAGGAGTGCTTTGTCTTTGCCCTATGTTATTGGTACCAACAAGCAACTTTGTTATCCCAAATAAACGCACCATATATCTGTGGTACCTACTTAGCTCACATGACATAAGAAGTAGAGTCAGAATGGAAATTCTGCGGACCTTAGTCTGTGTTGAAACAAGTAATTTTTAAGCAAAAAAACAAAACCGATTTCAATTCTCATATGAAAATTTAAAAGTACAGTTAAATTCTTCTTGATCCAATGATCAGATCTAAACAAAATTTGTATGGGACCACGTGGTCCAAAGTTATGCGGTCACATATGTATATAAAAAAAAAAATAGAAAATAAAAATAAAAATAAAAATAAAACAAGTAAAAAAATCTAAGTTCGGACAGAGCCGAACATTAAATACCCGGCACAAGTATTAAATAAAGTTTTTTTCACCTTTCCGACAACTACCGCTACATGGTAATCAGAAGTGATTTTACCCCTATTTAAAACACCTTCTATGAATTTATATAATTTTTATATAATTATATGTGGGCGGTATCACGCCCATTTTCCAAAATTCCATAGTAATGTTACTTCTTCAATTCAAGTTTCAGTCAATTAGCGTCCTAAAATTTCGAAATATCGAAGTTTCAAGCATTTCTGAAATCTAACGTTATATGAAAATTGGGCATAATTTTAGTCCGAATTCAATAATTTTCAACGTTTTGCTTTTATGTGGCAAGCAAAATAACCATGGCGAGTTTGGTACAAAATGATCGAGAAACACATGGGTGGTGTCACGCCCATTTCCCAAAACTTTGTCATAAAGGTATTTTTTTATAAAGAATTAGCTTCCGTATATACTAATTTATCGAAGATTTAATAGTTATCTAAATTACCGTTATATGGGATGTGCGCGTGGTTATTGTCCGATTTTAAAAATTTTCAGCCGTTTGGTATGCGGCGCCAAAGTCAAAAACTATGCCAAGCGGTTACAAAGATATACACATGTAATATATATGCATATGATGTTCTTCTTCTTCTTCTTATTTGGAACTACAACCGTTTGTCGGTTCGGGCCAAAATTCATATATTAGTGACTCTAATAAGATTCAATGTGATATTCTTACGGTATTCCTTTGTGTGGTGATGTGATATGATGTTAAATTATAGTATACGTTTTAATTCAATGCGACGGGATGTACTTTCGTTGTGGTTAATGGGGATTTGGATGTGATGTGATGAGTCATGACGTAACATGATAGGCATGCGGTGATGTTATGGCATGCGGTGATGTGGTGTGGAGTGATCTAATGATGATGTAATAAGATACGCGACTGGTTTAATGTCAAGATCCAATGTTATGTGATGGCATTTGATATGAAGGATGAGATTCGATGTAAAAGTATATTACCATTTTGTATAACGTTGCTTAATGACACCGATACGATACGATGTGATTCAGTTTCATGTACTTTCGGTATTCTTCGTTACATTAAGATCAATAATGTGGTGTGATGTGATGTACAGTGCTGTGGTGTAATGTAATATTGTGATATGTGATGTGATGTAATGTGTTCTGATGTAATGTGATGTGATGTGATGTGATGTGATGTGATGTGATGTGATGTGAT